AGAAGTGGTACACATAAATTTGTCTGTGTAGCTAACCTTAACAAATTTGAAATTTATACCAAGACATATTTATGAAGCCTGTTATCGAGCATGCGAAAATATAACACTTAAGAATTAATGCTAAAAATACTTGTAAGCTTTAGCACAAGTTGAGATTTCAAAACAACAATATTTACCAATTTGTATCCAGTTTTAGTCAATAAGTTCAAAATTTGACTTGCAGCTAAAGCATTGTTCTAAATAAGAATCGTATTGATGAAATACATTCTATGTTTGTAAGCCAACTAACTGAGATTTTTATCTTTAACATGCATATCACAAGATTTAATTAGTCATCAAAATATTTATAGTATTTATTGTACAACTGCAAGTAAACTTGATCATTTCTACATATAATACAACATTCAAATAGCTTTTACAAATGAGAGGCTTTCAAAGAGGTTTCATATACTATTCACGATTTGTTAATTCTATATAAACAAAAAGCTGTCAGCTGCTGTAATGACCTTACACACACAATAAAAATTATTTTTTAAAAATAAAATAAAATGGAAAGATTACTGTAATTTATTATAAATAAAATTTTGGCATAAAAAAGAAGCTCTCAAGCCAAACCACATCGCCCAAGCCTGTTCTTTGCAGGCATGATTCGTCATGTGAAAGTTGTTAAAACTGTTACATACTACACTTTTCACTAGTTCTTCTCAACTTAATTGGTTCTGTAAGTATCCTGACCTACTCTGTGTTGTCCTGCAGGCACTGTTGCCTGAAGTTTCCTTGTGCTGTGTCTTGTCTAAAGGCCTTCACAACTCTAGCCTGTATCCTCTAATGAAAGGAAGGCCTGTACCTACTCTTTTCTGGTACATAACATAATCTTCTCCAAAAAAGTTCAGTAGAGTAATCTCTTCTTCTATAATTCGAGTCTTGAAAAACTTCCAAGAGGCAACAGTATAACCAATCAAACATACTGGGTTACAGAGTAGGAGCTGTTAAACAAAATAATGAAGGTTTTTTTATTAAGTTGGTTTTTCAGGTACAGCTATGTAAAAAAAACTTATAAAACTAAAATGAATTCAGTCTCAGTAGTAAATGTAACTTATTAAAGAGAGCAGTCTTTCAAAAGGACCTCCAATAACAAACTATGTTACTTTTATTTCTAATCACAAAATATGACTTTATTTAAATTATAACCCACATGGAAAAAATTAAGAAGAAAAAAGAGAGCAAAAAAAAACTTATAAATAAAATTACAAGAAATACACATGGAAAAAATGTGTAAAGAAAACTTATATAAATAAACTCACTAAAGTCAAATGTTGATAAATCACAAAATATTATCTTAATTTCTGGGTGCAATATATTGTATAGAAGTCTAATTCACTAAAGTCTAACCTATACAAAGAACCTTTCTTACATATAGTGGCAGATAAACCAGTTATACGAGACTCAAATATGATGATGTCCAGAACATTAAAGTTACCTGTCTTTATTATAAACTGAAATCCATATAATCTTTAGTACTAGATAAAACATTTAATACATCTATTTGTATAATAAAGATTATTCTGCACTTATAGACTAATATATGGATTTAGGACTAAGTCAATGCAACTAATCTGGTGTAATTTTTAGTTCTGATCTATGTAGGTAGCTCGCTTTGATAAGAAGTTGATATTAATAAACACTAATCTGGTGTAATTTTTAGTTCTGATCTATGTAGGTAGCTTTCTTTGATCAGAAGTTGATATTAATAAACACTAATCTGGTGTAATTTTTAGTTCTGATCTATGTAGGTAGCTTTCTTTGATCAGAAGTTGATATTAATAAACACTAATCTGGTGTAAATTTTTAGTTCTGATCTGTGTAGGTAGTTTCTTTGATCAGAAGTTGATATTAATAAACACTAATCTGGTGTAATTTTTAGTTCTGATCTATGTAGGTAGCTTTCTTTGATCAGAAGTTGATATTAATAAACACTAATCTGGAGTAATTTTTAGTTCTGATCTGTGTAGGTAGCTTTCTTTGATCAGAGACCAACTATTTGTCACCAAAATACACAAGAAATAAATAGTAAACAAATCTATATAAACTGGAAGTTTACCTGTGTCCCAACTGACCACCAAAACCAACCAACATATGCTGGGTGACGGGTCAACGAATAGACACCGTGGGTGACCAAGACATGACCTTCTTCTCTGTGACTCTGTATGATATGGTTAAAATTGCTTCCAGCAGTCAGCATGGCCATTTTCCTCATTGTTTCACCACCAACACAGAGTAAGAATCCTAGTAAACTTAGCCACCACACCTCTTTCATTCCTGGATAAAGTAAAAATACTGGTATGGTTAATCACTATATTGTTTTCATATATTTAATTAAAACTTAAACCTTAAAAGCCCCTGGTAACAAACTTGATATGGTTAACTATGAGATCTTTATTTTTCTTTGACAATTAGACAACTTTTCCACAAAGTATAAATGCTACTATAGTTAGCCACTATTCTTTTTCAATAATACCTTAGCCACCAGTATAAATAGAAATTCTAGGGTGGTTAAATTAAACCCCAGTTTTTCCATTATAATAAGATCTCTAAGGTCAGGTTGGATTAACAGAAATGTTGATGTATTTTGTGTAAGAAATCTCACTCATAAATACAACGTTTATCATGTGTTGTAAAGAGTAAGATAAAACCTTTGTTTCTTAAATATCATGTTCTGTAGAATACTAAAACCACTTGTATATGACATAAAAAACCATTCAAAATATGGTAACATTTCATGTTTTCTGTGAAGTGTTTTCAATGTAACATCCAATTTGAAATATATTAACATACTTTCATATGCTAAGTGGAATAAAGAAAGATTCTTAGCCCTGGCCACCCTCATATTGTTAAAGCATGGTGACTTGCGAGTGTAGATGGTGCCTAGAAACGACTTTTTCTGGGACTTTCCAGTGTTAAATTCTCCCATCTCATTATTATAAAAGCATGAAAGTTTACTGTTATAAAAGGGATGTCTGTAATTTTGAGCTGTATTGGTAAAGTAATGGAAGGTATGGTTCCAGAGAGATTTTACAATTAGATACCCATCGAACTCGAGAGTTAGTAAAGAAAGAAACCTTGGCTCTGGAATTAACATACAAACATAGCAATATATTGTAACTAAAGTAGGAACCTCCCGTGAAACAGTAAACAAGATAATTACCATAGATTTAGTTTACAAAAGTGAAAAAATTCACAAGCTCAGAGCAACACCGAAGGCTAGATGCAAATACAAAAGTTTCCCACAGTGCAAATAGTAATGTAGAGCAACATACTATACCAAGGATCAACACACAGCACACCATCAGAGATGGAAGAAGGGAGCTCGGAGTAAAGCCTAGGCACTCATCTTTGTATTGTTATTAGAGTCCGTACCCAGAGTCATAAAATAGAACTCGACTGGTGGAAGAAGAGGGCTGTGAAGTCTAGGCCCTCATCCTTGTATTTTTTTTTTCCAAGAGCTCATCATACCCTAGCATATTTTAGCCATATAATTATTTCTTGTTAATTTTGTTGTCTATAATTTTCAATGTTTCATAAAAATAATTTGTGAAACCTCACAAAAAAGAATTATTTCTTTATAGCCAAGATATCACTGATTTAAATATTGTAAATACATATTAGAGGTTTTAATTTGAATATTAAAATGAAAAAGCAAAAACTTACCTGGACAAAAATATCTCTCTAAAAGGAACTCCATCCAACTCCCCACTGCTGCTATACCATACTCCCTGCTATGGTTGATAAGAAAAGAGTCAAGACTCAGAGACTTAGGGTTAATGACTGCAGTTGTCAAATACTCAGAATAGTGAAAGAAACAAAGAATACTGATGTAAATTCCAAACACTTTCCAAGATGAATCAGTTAAAACTGCAGAAACCAAACCTATTCCAAAACCTTGTCCTAGTATGCCAGCTCTCCATGCAACCTGAATGTGAACAAAACACGTTATCTGTAAAAACTTTAGATAAAAAAAAACACATAAAATTCATATATAATTGTATGAAACTTATCAAGAAAATTTTCTCATACAAACGTGGAGAAAACTTTACATGATAACCTCCGTAAGCTCACCTTTTGAAACAAGAGATTTGTTGTTTTCTCCATGTGAAGACTAAGTAATACACCATGGTCGAAGTGCCTACATCTGGGTATATACAATTTAAGCTGAAAATACCAGTCTGAAACAAATGGATTAGAATTGGCTTTATCTGTGGGGAACATGCTTTGCTGGTTCATGCCTTAACTGGGTTTTTGGATATAACAGAGAATCATTTTAGTTGCTGACCCAAAAATTATACAGTCTATGTTCATAAGCATAAAACATCATGGTCTGGTTTGGTTTGTTTTGAATTTCGTGCAAAGCTACATGAGGGCTATCT